GAGTTAGGCGGCTGGGGAGCGAGCTCTGCCCGCTCCTGCCTGCGGTTGGGCTGGAGGGAAAGGGCCAATTTCGGCTCCCAGCTGCCTGCTGGAGTTTGTTCCTTTTCCAGCTGTCGCTGCGCACAGGTCCAGACAGCGTGTCGCATTGCTGTGCCGGTAATGCCTTGTCTGAGCTCCCTAAACCGAGTGTGGACCTGCCCTGGGTGCTCTTGTGTCCCTCCAGGTGGGTCAGGAGGCTGCAACGACGGTGGTGGGGAAGCTGGGGGCTCGGGCTTGGCCCCACGATGGTGTCAGGCAGGTCTCCAGGGCACTGACTGCAGGTCCCAGGGCTGGTGGGAGAGTGGGTATTCAAGGGTCAGTAGCTCTCCTTTGTCTCTAGCGTTAGGATGCAGGGATGGGGTTATGGCCAGGCTGAACCCTGCAAGCATCCTGTGAATATTCCCCCAGGTTTTTTGTTGTCCCTTTGTCCCCCTCCCTGCCTGGGCAGTGCCTAGTGAAGGTCCTGGGAGGTGGGGAAGGAGGAGTATCTCAGTTTAACTAGGTTTGCTCTCATCATCCCACCTTTCCTTCCAGGAAAACTGCCATGTCCCTCCCGGGTCTGTCCCAGGCACAAAGGCACACAGCTCCGAGGGGCTGCGCTGCTGCCTGGGACAGAACTGCACCTCCCGGAGCATCCGTCTCCCACCGGAGCAAACCTCATGCGCTGCCGTTCCTGGGGTGAGAAGGAGGGAGGCTACACAGGGCTGGTCTTGTCCCACCTCGACCCTCCTAATGCCCACAGCCCAGAATAAAGAGGCCATGGGACTGGATGGGACATTGCTAGATTTCCACTCCTTCCTTTTCCAGGGATGAAGTTTCATGCAAAGGGAAATGGAAGAACACTAAGTTCGGAATCTTATCTCCGTTTTTATTTTTAGACAGGCATTCATGAGGAAGAAATGACGTACTTTGGGCAGCCTGTAGTGGAAGAGAGTAATTAAAGACAATATTCTTACTTTCAATATCACTCTCAGTGAATTGGCTGTTCCCAGGGCAGAATCGTGTTTGTCTGCCATAATTAGGCCCAATTTTTTTTTTGTTGTTGCTTTTGGCTTTAAGTAATTTATCATGTACGGTAGAAAAATATGAATAATTTATTTGTGAGTTAAAATTTAATTATAGCTTTGCATTTGGCAAGGTGGGGGCAAAGCACTGGCGTGATCTCTCCTTGGCATTTAGGGTGGATCTGAAGGAGGCAATTAAAATCCAAGTGAAAGTGGAAGGTTGCAGCCACGGTTTCTGTGGGAGGACTTCCACCAGGATCGTGCCACTCAAGCGCAGTCATGTTGTCGAAAGCCTGTCAGGCAACGGAAGTCTGCGCTTCCCAGGTACCAAGGCTCTGACCCACGAGCGGCAGAGCGAGGGCTGTGGACCAGATCCCACACACATCGCTTTCAGGTCTGTTCCAGTTCGGACTCATGGCCGTGGAAAGCTGCTGCAGCCCGTCAGCTCTGCCAGTCTGCATGGGATGGGGAGGGTCTGCTCCCCTGGGCACCCTGGGCAAGCCCTGAGGAGCAGTGCCCCCCGAAAGGCATGCCTCTCGTCCCAGGGCCCTGATGCTGCACACAGCCTGCCTTCTGCTTCCAGATGGGTCCTGGAACGGGCAGGGTGAATGTTTACTTAAGTGAGCTCACCCTAATTTTGATAAGGGTAATTAAAGCCATGACATTCTGTAAGTACTTCTTCCTGTTTTCTCTGTCCTCGCTGCGTTACGTTCTGGACACGAGAGGAAGAGCGCGTGTACGCGGAGGGCAGCGTGCGGGTGGGCGGCTGGAGGATGCGGTGCGGGCTGGAGCTGCCGCGAGGTTGCGGGAGGGGTGTTGTCTGCACGCTCTGGGCTCGCACCGGGGGGGTATGAGCG